TTATTACATTTAGACGGAAACATAAGTATCGAAACAAGGAGAAGAACATAGGTAAATAGTAGCATCAGTAGAGGTAGTAGTTGCAGACATCAAGAGCAACGGCTCGTAGCAACCTTTGTGACACTGGATGCAACGTAGTTTCGATATCCGGTCATTGAGAATCACCTCGTACTTGTGTCCATGTTGTGTGATGAAACTAAACCCTGGTCTCATATTTCTGAAACTTCCAACGGCACACTCCGTGTGAAGAACCGGACCACAACTGAAACACTTGTAGTGAATCCTCTTTTCATCGATTTTATTTTCGCATATGTCACACCAATATGGATTGGTGTTAAGACCTTCACCCTTGGTGTGGGAGAGCAAATGGTCATCGTACTTGTAGACAACTTCAGCTGGTATGGTTGCGCACGTGAAGCACAGGTTGAAATCGCATACAACACAACTTAGCACATGTCTAGGCTCACAATGATTGCAGACACTGCAGATCTTATTGGTTCTACTTAGAATTGCGAATAAAAGATGGGGGTGAAAATGGTATTTAAAGGGTTCAGAAACTGAAGAACATCTAACATCGAATTCAATGTCGCACTCAAAACAACGGTAACTAAACCCATTGAAATGTAAGTTGCAAGCATTACAGCGAGAAAGGTCATGAGGACCACCTGACCTTTCACCTTCGGTGCATAGAGCAAGTGGGTGTACATGTAGAAACATCTGAATCAACCGAGGAAGATGAGCGCATGTTTTGTGAAGAACGTAATCGCATTGCGTACACCTGTAAAAAGTATATGGACCGAGTGACAAAGAACATCCAGAGCAAACAACGTCTCTAATATCTTTGTATTCGAGCTTTAGAACATGTTGATGACTAAAGTGTTGAATTAAGTTGTCATCAACATCAACAAACGCACTGCTCGCATTCTCTTTGTATTCTTCGGGCTCCTTCTCGAGCTCCTTTCCGTGCCACACATCTTCCCTCAATACACATCTCATATGGACAGCGTAATCACAACCTTTGTCACAATTATAAGCACCGTATCTACCGTTTATCCTCTGGCGACAGACTCCGCAATCCCATTTCCGGGGTCCGAGAAAGCAAGTATAAAAAAGGCGGTGGTGGTGACGCGAGATGTTGATAACTCTTGGAATGTTTAAGCAGTCTCTGTGTACCATGAAACAACATTTGAGACATACGTACGGAGACTTATCATCAGAGAGTCCACAAGCATTACAAGTAAAGGAGACATGTCTCGGTAAGAGGGTGAGTGGATGCTCATGGATCTTGCTATTATCGATCACAAGCGATGGTGGATTCTCTGCACAATCAAGATGCGCAGTGAAATCACACTGTGAACATTCGTAAGCAGACCCATTAGACGTTACCTCTTCCCCACACAAACCACATACTCGACTTTCTTCTCCGGACAATGACTCTCTACGGTTTAAAGGGTGTCGATGACTAGCAAATGTTGCTGCATCCATTGACTAGCAAAAGTTCTTTTTATGTTTTTTTTTTGGAAAAGCCAAAATTTGTGACCTGAGAATAGCCAGTTGTTGATGAGGAACTTGCTTAATATAACAACATTTTATGAATTTTATAATAATAACAAATTAACAATGTCGTGGATTGTATATTATGACAGATTAGAAAGTTAACATAATTACAACTTGCTTCTAAGAGAAAGAGAATCATATATTTTTGTTAAAATGACGAGTTTATAAAGTAAAAGCATGGCTCAAGTAAATTGAGATGCAAAAGGAAAAGCATGAGTTGATTTGTTGAGTCACTTGAGATGCTAAAGGAGCATGAGCTCAAGTAACTTGAGATGCTAAAGAAAGCTCAAGTAACTTGAGATGCTAAAGAAAAAGTATAAGCTCAAGTAACTTGAGATGCTTAAGTAAAAGTATGAGCTCAAGTAACTTGAGATGCTTAAGTAAAAGTATGAGGTCAAGTAAAAGCATGGCTTAAGTAACTTGAGATGCTAAAGGAAAAGCATGAGCTGATTTGTTGAGTCACTTGAGATGCTAAAGTAGAAGCATGATCTCAAGTAACTTGAGATGCTTAAGTAAAAACATGAGCTCAAGTAACTTGAGATGCTTAAGTAAAAGCATGAGCTCAAGTAACTTGAGATGCTAAATTTAGAAGAAGGAAAAAAAGAACAGAGATTGAAAAAGACTGAACCGAATTAACGGTCTTTCAAACAAATAATTACGAAGAATGCCATCGAGTTAAGTTACTCACGAGCTTGTCACGTGCATTGTTTGTTTACTTGTTTCAATCAAACCCTCTTTTCCAACCAGAATCTCTTCAACACTCGAAAACCTTCACAGTTTTCTAGTATCAACCAAGCCGAAATGCAACACATCAACATAAAGAATGAAGAAAATCTTGAATTGGTATATTTTGAACAGAAAACTATTTAAAGATTGAAGAAAGAAACGAAAAATATGAGCATTCTCATACACAAATTAAATTAAGGTCAATCTTGTTCAAGATTTGAACTTTGGGTTTAAGTCTTTTAAGTTTTCTCCAATATCGAACTAAACAGAAAATAGGAACCAAGTTAACCAAATGCTTACTTCTTTGGGACCTCAGTCTTGGTCAGATCTCCAGATTCCGTTTCCATCGCAGGGAGTGAGAGTAACTCTTGGACACTCATAACTCTCAAGAAAACTCAGATTTGGGAAGTAGATTTGCTTCAGCTCTATCCATCCAACTCTTAGCTTCGGGAGTAACGTGAGACGCAAGACTTCAACAGCACATTTTGTAGGCTCCTCCGGTAAATAATTACCGAAACCCTTGAGTCGTCTTCCTCCTCCAATATGGAGCCTTTTCAAGTGAAGCAGATTCTCTGGATGAAGCCATAAGGGAAGTTCTTCGTGCGGGAAACGCTGCAGGTCCAGTTTCTTTAACTGATCCGGAAGGCTTTTAATCCCTGTGGAAGATCCACGAATGACTCTTAAATCCCTTTTCCATGTCACCTTCAAGCTTGTCAATTCTTTGAGGTCCACAAGATTCTCCATCATTTGTTCTACGCCAAAATCATCTCGGTTTATTTCGATGCTTAGCTTTCTTAGCTTCTTCAAGTTCTTTAAATAGTTAACCTTGCACGCAACACTCTCAAAGAATTCGTCGCTAACCACAAAGCCCTTGAGAACCTCTAAATTCTTCAACAAAGCCAACCTTAAGGGAATCCATTCCAACATATAACATCCTGACATATCCAAGTAGACCAGACTCTCAAGTGAATCTATCTTTTCTGGAAGCTTCGTCAGGTCGGAGCACTCCCTGAGGTCCAAGACGATCAGCTGGTGTAGCTTACAAACCGAACTGTTTAGGCTTCTAATGGTCGAGATCCCTTGAAGACTTAGCACTTTTACTTTCGTCACATGTTTTAAAGATTTCATGGGATCATGATTCTGTACCTGGATGTGACGTTTCTTACTTCTTTCCCATCTCCCCAAATAAAAGACGTTGAGTGACTTGAACCAAGCTTCTGATAAATTGATCATGAATCTTCTGTGTGTACGTGGTTTCTTCGAGAACCACTTGATTGTGAAATCAGGATATCTCTCAGAAACATTGAACACTGTCTCAATATCCATTGATGGCATTTTCCTAACGGTTGCCTCTCGTTGGACTGCCGACTCTTCCACAATGAATATTTTTCTCCTATCTGACACTTGCATGCTTGGCTTGCACCCTTTACCATAAATATCAAAAACTCCAATCTGCTTTGAGAGCAGAACAACTGAAGAATGCACAAAAGGACTCATCTTATAGCTGCTTGGAGCCACTTTGCGCCTTTCTTCAACGGGTTCGACCAACTCTTTCTCAGTGAATTCCTTAAGAACTTCCCTTACAGCTTCTTGAGCTCCTTCGACGGGTAGAATCCCCTCTCCTATCAACCAATACATCAGCACTGTTCTATGAACCTCTCTGTTCTCCGGGAACACAGCGAAACTCAAAATGCAGATCTTCCGTTCAATCTCAAGCTCCACAAACTTCTGTTTCACTTGTCTGAAAGCCTCGCATTTGATGAGATCATCCACATTTGAATGTAAACCAGGAAGGTAAAAATAGGCCTTGCCCTGATCAAACTCATATTCATCATCTTGATCATCATAAGCTGCTGCTGATTTCTGTTTCTCTGGCTTACTAGACAACAAGGGGACTTCGCACAACAAGTCAAAGATCTTTGTCTCCATGCCTTCTAAATCAGGCTTGATCCAATACGTACTTTGAGAAAATACCTTTGAGGAATCCCTATTTTTAATCAGTTCATGAACGGTACCAACATGTTTATCTAGCTCTTCTCCCAAACTTGTATGAAGTTTCTCTAGCTTTCCCAGCTTCAATTTGAGAAGCCGGAGATGAGATTGTAGCCTCGTAATCAGATAAAAGGAAACAAGATCCAAAGCAGGAGGAGCACTTTGGCTTCTTTGTAAAGTAGTCTTTTGGTTATTGCTCTCAGTAATTCCTTGTTCCTTCTTGCTTCTTCCTAAAGGATCTTCCTTTAAAGGACACAAGAGTTTGTTCAACTCTATTAAGCTCTCCAAGATCTTATCGACTTTCTCCTCTAAAGTATCTCCTGATTTCTGCGTCTGCAAATTGTTATTGTAAGCCATGAGGTTAACACTCCTCTGAAGTATCTCCTTAATTAACTAATGTTAAATTAACCCACCTGCCTGCAAATCTTGAAAGTAGTCAAGACTTAGTATCAGTCTGATTTGAAAAGAAAAAGAAAAGCCATGAACTTTCCAGTACCTACCAGTCTGAATCATACAAAAACCAAACAGAATATGTAGTAATACCTTATAGCGCCCTCAACGCACTTGTAGACCCTCCTCCTCTTCAGGTTCCACACCAAAACAAAAC